GATACTGGGAGGGGAGTGGGATGGGATTGGGGGACACTGGGAGGTACTGGGAAGGGACTGGGGGGACACTGGGAGGGAACTGGGAGTACTGGGAGGCACTGGGAGGGGACTGGGAGCTCTGGGAAAGGACTAGAAAAGACTTGGAAAGGATTGAGGAGATGCTGAGAGAGAACCAGGAGCGTTGAAAGAAGCAGGAGCACTGGGAGGGCACTGGGAGGGGACTGGGAGCTGTGGGAGGGGACTGGGGGGACACTGGGAGCACTGGGAGGGGACTGGGAGCACTAGGAGGGAACTGGGAGCTGTGGGAAGGGACTGGGGAACACTTGGAAGAGATTGAGAAGACGCTGAGAGAAAACCAGGAGCGCAGAAAGAAGCAGGAGCACTGGGAGGGCACTGGGAGCACTGGGAGGGGACTGGGAGCACTGGGAGGGCACTGGGAGCACTGGGAGGGCACTGGGAGGCACTGGGAGGGCACTGGGAGGGCACTGGGAGCTGAGGGAAGGGACTGGGGAACACTTGGAGGGGATTGAGGAGATGCTGAGAGAGAACCAGGAGGGTAGAAAGAAGCAGGAGCACTGGGAGGGCGCTGGGAGCACTGGGAGGGACTGGGGGACACTGGGAGGGGACTGGGGGGATACTGGGAGCACTGGGAAGGGACTGGGAGTACTGGGGGACACTGGGAGAGGACTGGGAGCTGTGGGAAGGGACTGGGGAACACTTGGAGGGGATTGAGGAGACGCTGAGGGAGAACCAGGAGTGTAGAAAGAATCAGGAGCACTGGGAATGCACTAGGAGCACTGGGGGGACACTGGGAGCACTGGGAGGGGACTGGGAGCACTGGGAGGGACTGGGAGGGGACTGGGAGCACTGGGAGGCACTGGGAGGGGACTGGAAGGCACTGGGAGGGGACTAGAAAAGACTTGGAGACAATTGAGAAGACACTGAGACAGATCCAGGAATGTAGAAAGAAGCAGGAGCACTGGGAGGGGACTGGGGGACACTGAGAAGGGACTGGGGGATACTGGGAGCACTGGGAGGGGACTGGGGGGCACTGGGAGGCACTGGGAGGGGACTGGGAGCTCTGGGAGGGCATTGAGAAGATGCTGAGAGAGAACCAAGACCGTAAAAAGGGTTCTGAGAAGCAGGAGCACTGGGAGCACTGGGAGGGGACTGGGAGCTGTGGGAGGGCACTGGGGGGATACTGGGAGCACTGGGAGGGGATGGGGAGCACTGGGAAGGGACTGGGAGTACTGGAAGGGAACTGGGAGCTCTGGGAAGGGACTGGGGAACACTTTGAGGGGATTGAGGACTCCCAGAGAGAGAGAACCAAGACCATAAGAAGGGTCCTGAGATGCAGGAGCACTGGGAGGGCACTGGGAGCACTGGGAGCACTGGGAGGCACTGGGAGCACTGGGAGGGGACCCCAGGAGGTGTGTGGGGGGTGGGGGTGTCCCCTGACCTGGGCCAGCAGGGCCTGTGTGAAGGGCAGGGCGGCCGCCAGCAGGGACCGGCGCTCGGGAAGGGGCTCGGCCGCCGCCACCTCCCGGGGGCTGATGATGTCCCAGTCCTCAAGGAG